TATAGAACCTAGACCTGCTTTACAATCAAAAAACACATGGACATCTACCTTTATACAATATGGGACCTTTAACACAGGCTTTTCTAAAAGGCATTGCAGTATATATGAGAAAACTATAGACCTGTCTATGCAAACATTCATTCACACTGTCGCTGTCTCAGTTGCTTAACCATCTTCACTCCATTCAGAACACACAGGCCAAATCTGTCATATGTAACACACCACATGGACGGTAACTGATTAAATTTCCTATTTCCCACTGACCACTGTGAAATCAGAAAAAGCCCCCCATGAGAGTTTTTTTGATTGCTTCCCTCAAAAAAATAAGTGTTTTCTAAGGGCTAGCCAGAGGTAATGATGTCACTTCCACATTCAATTTAGACTCCTGGTGGAAACATCATTTGGATCTCAATTATCTCAGTCATTTTTTTTCTTGTTCTTTTCACAGCTCAAAGGCTCGAAGTGACTTCTCATTGATTTTCTCCTCTTGCCAAAGTCCCTCCGCCCTGTCAGATGAGGAAACAGTGCAGGCTTTGTTCTAACTGTACACCCAGCATTTCCCTTTGTCTGTCTGCATGGGGCGCGTTATAAAACTCTACAGAAACACGGAAGCAATGAAACACCACTGACAACGAAGATTTGCCAGCCTCAAACAGAAATACTATCTTTTATGGGTCTAATGGGCCAAACATGTATCCCACCAGCATTTCATGAACCAGTGAACAGCGGCTCGAAATGTGGAACATGGCAGAAAAATATAGAGTTTCTTTCCCATCTTTATTCAAGAATGTGGTCTTTCCTTTTGAGAGCATTATTTCTTCACCGCTTCCCCTCAACACCCTGCACTCTCTCTAAAATAGACCCTGCTCGAGTGTAAATCTCTGCTCCTGCTCAAAACTGTTTGTTATTGTGGTAGCGGGTTGCCCCATCCATTATGACGTGTCCCTGTTTGCTTACAAGCACTTAGATTTAAAAAAAAAAGATGAATGGACAAAGATGTCTGTCATTGTACGTGTTCCGGGCGAGCTGGCGAAGTGTAGCCCATGATATAGTTTGTGAGATTAGGAGCGAGTTGCGTGCTAACTAGCGCCGTAGCGTGCAAAACAGCATTCCATTCCAAACAAACTTGCTAGTGATTTCATCTGCGTCAGTGCGCTGATGAACTTCAGCGGCGTTCTTGATTTTTCCACACCACCCCTGTCAGAGTGGTTTATTCCATCTCCGCTGTACGATGCTGTTCAGTGTTTGTTTTTCTGAGCTCCACTGACTAGCTGAGTACCAATACGAGTCTTACTGCTTTTGTATTCACTGTTGTGTGCGTCCATTGGCTTGAAACTATGTTGGGTCTCAAGCTAATATCATTTCTTGTACATTCCTGTTTGTGATGATAATTGTTGAATTGTTTCCACTGCAGAGCCTGTACTTAATTTATTACATTCAGTGTGCCTTTTTGTTGCATTTTTTTGTTTACATTAAATCTTAGCATGTTAAACACTTTATATATGGCTGTGCATTTAAATTCATTGCACTGGCTATATTTCTATTTTACCCATTTGTAGGCGCATTATCTTGTGTGTGAGTCACATAGTGGAAATTTTATTAAGTTGTGACTTCTCTGACCCTACGTATATGAGAGAGGCAGAATCATTCTCTTTATTATAACCTGCATGTGCATGAGGTTATTTTTCAGACAGCGCACACCCGATCCAATTTTCTACATAGTTCTAACACATGCAGAGGCTCATTCAGCAACGGCTCATACAGAAAACATGTTCAAGATTGACAGTCTCCTTTTTTGAGATGCCTGAATGAAAGTCTACATTTTAAAGAATATGAAACTGCGCACAAAAGACATGTTCAATACAAGCTCAATGCAAAGCTCTTCAATGAAGCCAATAAAAAACCTCAGGCCATCTCGCTCAACAATGCACACAGCACAGATAGCAAAGCTTAAAAATAGTGAATCACACTGCACACAATAGGCCTGTACACATAAAGCCATGCTGCCTCGAAACTACTGCGTCTGTTATTAAGAGATAGCACACTGATTTTTTTTTTCAGCAGGTAAAACTAATATCTGCAGCCACCCCCCACCCCCCCTGTTCCAGTCATTATATTGCGGCTTGTAATGCCTGATTGGATTGTAAATTAATTATCACTTCTGTGATAAACCAATGTAGGGAGAGAAGGAGATTCCTCTGTCTCCACAGAGGGAGCTTTCTGGGTTGGAGGTATTCAGAAGTTCATTTTGTTTAAAAGACATTAGCAGATGAGGAGGAAATGGTGACAAGGCGAAGGGGAGATAGCGACTTAATGAAAGTTTCCTTTCATGCCCCGGAGTTTAAGAGACGACTATTAACAAGAAGGAAGATGAAAAAGAGGATGTAAAAAAAGGATTAGGAGATTTAAAAAAGTGGTCAGGAAACCTCTACAGTTAACTATTGTGCAGCCTGTGTCGAAGATGTATGCGCTGCCAGCACCACACACACTGCAGAAGTCCCTTAGAAACTTTTATCACCTAAAGCTAACGAAAGAAAAAAAAAACCCCATCAATTCGAAGACAAGAAGACAAGTCTACGAATGAACTCACCACCTACACATCTCTAGTAACCAACAGGACCTGTAAAACATCCAACCGACTGTACAAACTCAATGTGGCAAAGCAGGAAAACAACTTAAAGCTGTAATGTTTTCTTCAAAAGGTAAAGTCCATTTTATGACAAACTGAGTTTACTGCAAACAAACAAGCTCCAAACTGGAGTCAGATATGTGAGAATTTAGGAAGCTTTTAGCAAGATATTAGCTGGATAGCTTTAAAACATTAAGTGGCAGTTTCTTCCCCTGCTAACAAGCTAAATTGCACATTACAGAAAAAGTCAAACGCTTGAAGGCACCATCCAAGATTTTACAAATACTGAGGTTTTTTTTTTTCTAATTCCATGTTATTAATTGAATCATTCAGTTAATTAGTGACGTCTTGATCTCGTTTTTTTTTTTTTTGGTCCCTGATCCCCATCTATTTTTTTTTCTTCAGTCACTTCTTCAGGCTGTGCTGTTTTTGGTGGTGCTATTGTTTTTGAGCTGAATCAAACGTCTTACTGACAGTTTAGATACAGCGTATCATTATTAATAGTTTTGGTGTTTGTTTTTGTTCGTTGTTTTCTTGTTCCCTTTTGTTATTGTTTCGCATTATGACATAATGTTTACTTGAGTGGACCTCAGGAAGAGTAGCTGGTAGTCACTTATGGGGATCCAAATAAATAAATAGATCAAAGTCCTTAAATATTGTGTCTGATACTTTTTTTCTTTGTGTCTGGTATTGAACTAACAGCTGTGGTCAGCTTAATCTGATACACCTTCTTTTTCACGAGCTACATGATCAAAATACCAAAAGGCCCAGTCCAAAAATATAATGTTTTTATGAGTTTAAATTATTGCTATGATATGAATGAAAGATTAACTGAGCGAGTGCAAGTCCTGCAATTGAAGTGATGCAATAAGCTGAAGAGAAGACGCAGTTGGAACTAGAAAAAGCACTCAGTCCACTAACGGTTGTTGGAAAGATGTGTTTTAAACAAACAACTGCTGAGTTTAAGTTTGGCTTGTTATGAAGTTAGTCTCAGATCTGCTACCACTGACGTCTGGCATTTCAATGTATGTTTCGTACACACCTCTCTGTGAAGCGTGCTTAGCTGTGTAGCTTTGTGAATCCTTGTATTTTCCTGATGTATTTTTGTTAAATGCCTGTCTTTAAAATTCTTGAAATATTCAGATCGAATTCAATTTACTCCGCGAAGACAATTGTATACAGCAGCTCGCAAACCAGGTCAACAAATACACACACTGTAAATATGTATCCTTAAAATTAATAGAAATGTATCTAAAAAAATACAATACAATCCTTCATGTCCCCCCCCCGTCATCGAGACCAGTGATCTGTCTGATCAAAGTGGCCCTGGGAGCTGCATCTGTAGGCCCAGGCTCAGCTGTGTGTCTCTCCCCCAAATCAAATGTCTCGAGTCGAGGTGACCTGTCTGACTTTAAGACAGGATCCTTCATCAACACACAGCTGCTGTCTTACACACACACACCCACACACACACACACACACACGCTTATACAGACATGTCTATGAAGCAAGCACATTCCCGTCTCTGTTTTCTGTTTGTTCGAGTTGTATGACATACAATGATAACAGACTGTATTTTGTACAAAAATCACTCTTAAACGTTATAGAGTTGTGATTAAAGATAAAATATTAATCTGAACTGGTGACAAAATTGAATATTTTAACCTATGAATCAAAGTAGTGACCCAGTTTTGGATATGTTTCCAGTCTTGCTCTACTTATACCAAGATTTTTGTACCAAAAAAAAGAGGCCCCAAAATCAATTATTTCCCATTCTGTTCCTTTGCCAGTGAACACAGTGTTTTATCTCTAGATATATTTTATTCCTTAGAGAAATCTTTACATGATGTGTCAGGCAGTGAAATGGTAAAGAAGAAGAAGGAAAAAAAAACTACTGTGGCTGTAAATATATATTGAAAAGTCACTGAAGTCATTAAAAACTTCATGGTTATTAAGAAGAGTGGTATGAGAGTTCTCCAAATTAATTGGGGTTAATTAAAGGTTAGGCTTTTTTGTTGCACTGAAGGAGGATTTTTAGTGTAACTATGCACTAAGTAGAAATGCACACAAGTTACTGTGTGCACACACAAAAAGGCACAAAGCTGTGGATGTGTGTAAAGCTTTTTATAAGGTAGTGAACTGACTTCATGCCACACTTTTAAATGAACCAGGAGTCTTGTAGTATTAGTGCAAGATACAGACTAACATAGATTAAGCCAAGAAGAAAAAAAAATCCCAGTGGATGTTTAATCCATAGATTGGCTCATAACCTACTTATCACATCCACAAAGGTGAGCTGATGTATTAACTGAGGTCGCCCGGGATACAGGTTTTCCTGTCTGTCTTACGTGTCCGAACGTCAGCGTCTTACCTGCTCCAGTTTCCAGTGGAACTCGGCCGGTCTGAACGTGTCCACCTGTGTGAAGTCTCTCCTCAGCAGAAACACCAGGCGGCAATTATGGACATACAGCGAGTAGTGATGACGGTTCATCTCTGGAAAGGGAGGGAGGAGGAAAGAAAGAAAGAAAGAAAGAAAGAAAGCGAGGAGTTGGCACCAGATATCTTTGGCCACATACATCTTTGGATCATGTGTGCATCACGTATACAGTACGATGATGACACACACTTACCCTAACATTATTATTCCACCATGAATGTACGATTGGGCATAACATTAAACTAAATAAATATTTAATTATGCTCTGCTTTGTTAGCGTAGCTCCGTGACATAGAGGAATAAACAGTATGAGGTATTTCACAGACTATTTGTTGTCAATAAGAAAACATTTTGTTGGCCTTTATTGCCCCACTTGTCCCGTCACTGTGCAGCCAATATCTTTGTATCATGCAGGGAGCTGCAGTTGGAAAATGACTGACTTCCTGTTGCTTACAGATTTTTGGTGATGTGCCACGTCTCCAGTCAATGGACCATCCTGGTAACGTGTACAAAAATCCTAAAATCAGAGGCTCGGCTGGGATCAGCTAATCCACTCACTTGATTTGTGGTGTGTGGTGTTAATCACTCTGATCGAACCACAGGCTCATATGAGAAATGCTGATCAAGTCAGATGCAAAGTCTGGATGGGACCTCAGCTGTCTCAGGATCAAAATATATTGAAAAGACCAAAACCAAGAGTCTAATAGTAAATTCTGTAACATTTTCTTACCTCTCTACTCTGATTGGGCCTTTCAGCTTTAAATGGCTACCAAGTATATAGTTACATTTTTTTTTTTTTAAAGATCAGTAATTTCCTAAAACAGCTGGGCACTGTTGTTTTTAGCAAACATTACTCAAACACAAATAGTGAATTTGTTGGGGACTACTTTTAGATGTGGATTAATACGTAGTTGGTGCTCTAGTGAGCATTTCTGGTAGCAGGGATTGACCAAAAATTAGCTACAAAATTAGTATCAATGTTTCTCAATGGTGAGTTATATATAATTTACACCAGACTGTGGTTACACAGAGAGGTGGGATCAATTCATTATTGTTTTCGGTCTTGTCATGGGGTTTGTGGAGAATGTCAATGTTGAGAGTGTCGATCCTTGTTAAGGCTCCTACGCACCGGTCTTGTCGGAGTTACAGAGCAGTGTCTCCTTCTCAGCTCTGAGTCCGGGACTGGGCCCGTGCTTCATCCACGTTGCTATGGTGAACTGGTCGGTCAGATTCTGCGGCACCACCCAGTCTGGGATTTTCGCCGCCTGACGACCATCAAACCTGAAGATCAAGTCGCTGTCCCTCCCGCTGTCGGTCACCAGGGAAGCCGTCCAGTTGGTGGCGGCGCTAGGGGCAGGGAGAAGGTCAGTGCTGCCCGAGGAGGCCCCTGGGGTCACAAATAAGAGGTGCGACAGAAGATATGTCAATAAGAATCACAGCAGATATGCAGCGTGTATTGGCCTAACCTTGGCTATGATTACTTATGAGTAAGGCAGATGGCGCGACTTAATGTGTAATCAATGGACCGAGATGGATAGAGGATGTGGCTATTGATTCATGGCAAATGAAACTGACTTTCAAAAGGAAAGAGATGTGAGTCATCGTTCACAAATTCAGAACATAGCTCACCACTAACATGTGCCTCTATGGAAACAGGGGGGACGTATTGACGGAGTGCTATGGTAACACAAAGAGAAAAGACTCAGCGAGGAGTATATAGTGTCTGGTGTGAATCAGCCATCATATGAAATGTTTAGAGTGATCCCTATATGTCCTGACAAAACACACTTATCATGACTGCTTTCACTGACTCATCCCGTTCCCTTTTCTCTTCCTCCCTTTAAAAGCAACTCCATCATTCTTCTGACACAGTAACCTCAATGTGTTGCGTCCTGAACGATCTGTGTGTTCAAGCTGTCACCTTGACAAACGTTATTTTGGCCACAATGTTCACCTTGCGCCTCAATATATTTGACATGCCCTTACCGATCGATCTTTGCCACTGTGTGACAGTGAAAAATGCTTTTCATGTGTTTAAACCACATTTATAAATCATTTATAACAGCTTACGGATGGTGATAAATCAAAGCAGTGTGGAAAACACGCTGTTCCGAGGAAAAAATGGCCAATGTCAGAATTCACCATGTCTCCTTTGTCCAGGCAAACAACTGCACAAACATGCATCTGTTCATTCCTGCTAATAACACAACATTAGCACGTAAGTTGATGTTTTTTCCCCGTCTTTAAAGCTCCGTTTTTCACCACCTCTTACTCATGCCAATGTGACTCCAGTAATTAGATTCCCTCAGTAAATAAATACGCATCGACTTCTCCAGGACGCAGTTGCAGCCCTTTTTTTGCCCGATGTCTTTGTACATTATCTCAAATTGATTGTGCTTTAAAAAAGCAATTACAATTTATTCTATTCGCTATCAGATAATGATTATGAGGTACCTGAAAAGGGCTCTTTAGTGGTAAACCATGCATGGACTGGGAGCCTGGGGAGGCAGGGAGGGGATGTTATGCATTCAGATGAGCTGGAATGGGGCTTGTGAAGGCCGTTAGTCAAAGATGATGACTCCAGCCCCCCTGCTGGCGGTGCAGTGTGGGCGGGGAGTGGGGAGTGGGTAGGCTCGACTGCTTTGTTGGTGCTCTGGGCACCGACACGGCAGCTTGGCTGCTCATCAGTCACTGAGGAGAAAGCGTGGTAGCATCTGGGGCGGCTAATGCCCTCGCTCTGTCACATCATTAGTGACACAGCTTTAAGTTGCAATTCTGGTGCCTTCATTTAGCACAGGGGTTTACCAGGGACACCAGTGGAGATGAGAAGGCAACACAAACTGAGAGCTTTCAGATGTTGGTTTAAAAATGGAAGAGAAAAGCCCTCAGGCCCTGTCTGACCCTGGTACTCAGACCATGGATTCAACTGATGCTTTTAGCCGCAGCTTACTTCTAATTTAATACATCAACTTTCAGTTTGCCACATCAGTCAGAAGTCACCTTTGATCAGCCATCTACTGTATATTCTACATATCATATGCCATGCAAATAGCCACAGGTCCAGCCCTCATTTGATTTGCTTCTATATGCCAGATATGCACTCTCAGTCTAAGCGATTTGTCAGTGTGGTCACACACAATGATATTATGAATATTACAATATTCAAACCATAACAGCAATATCCTTTTTTCTTTTTTCTTTTTTTTTTTTTGCAAAACCTACCACAGAGTTTCTGTAGAGATTTCTCAGAGTAGGTTTCTCGGTCGCAGCCCTTGCCGATGTGGCTCGTCTGCAGCTCCACCGTGGTTCTCACCGATGACAGCGGCCCGCCACAGGTCTCCAGGTGCATCTTGGGAAACAGCTGCTTACTGCCCGTTCCAGGCTCATAGTCCACTCGCTTATTCCAACCTGGAGAAAAAGGGAAAAAGAGATGGATTGATGATTGGCGATCAGACAGAATAGGTTGAACTGCAGAGTCTGGTCTCCTGAGCGGACACACCAACTGGCTGCAGATTATTATCTAAAATCAGATCTGATTGTCACAAACCGACTCGTGTGCGTTTGTTACTGCTCGTCTTGCCTCATTTTGTCCATTTAGGCTACCATCAAAAAAAAAAAAAAGAGACTCCATTTCCGATTTTTCAATGCCACTAATATTTCTGCCATCACAACTCAATATCCTTCTGCCAGAATGTGCCCGGCTAATAAAATTGCTGCATTGTTGTTGTAGTGCAGTGCAGTACCTGCATTAGTGGCAGTAGTCATTATGCTGTCACTGTCTGTCCTGTCAGCTCTGAATTGTGTTTTCTGTCTGGGCAGGCTATTATTTTGTGCGGCGCTGATGTTTTCACTTCCCAAGCCTTTGTTGGTGTGAATTTGTGTTTGTCTGCGCAGTCTCCGCCGGAGACAACATGAGAATGAACTGCAAAATTATGTTGCCAGTTTTGTGTTTTTATGATTTTTGTTTACAGTGAGCTGATCTCAAACATTATCTGAAAGAGCATCTGGCATATCTCCTGTCAGTCCAGTCGCCTTCTTCTGCATCTGCATCTTCTTCTTCATATGTATGAAACTAGGTCTTTAAAGCAAACTCTACCAGCTCAACTTTAAAGGGCCCATATTTTACACTTTTCCAGTATTTTATTTGAAGTGTTGATCCATAATAAGATATATTTGTGGTTTTACATCTCCTCTCTCAGGCTTATTTCTGGAGCTCTAGACACAACAGGTCGGTGAGCCAATCAGAAGAGAGGAGGCTCTGAGTCTGAGACTGTTTTCTGAGTGATCGAATAAAAATACAGCAGATTTCAGGTCACTCTGAGCGTCAGAAACGCTCAGAGAAACCAAATCCTGCAAGATTGGATGGTGGGTCCAGGTGGGCGGGGCTTGGGGCATGGTTGTGACATCACAAAGTTCCAGAAGTCCTGACAGCTGGTTTTAAGACTCAGTTTCTGAATACAGGCTGTGTGTATTTCTCTGTGGACTGAGGCTTTGATACTTTCACAGTGTTAATACAGAACCTAGACCTGCTTTATAATAAAAGAAGACATGGAAATCTACTTTTATACTATATGGGACCTTTAACTGGGCGCCCAACTCTCAACCATGCTATCCCATAAATGCGGCTAGTGCACACAAACCACTTCCTATGTGTCAATCCTTCTATCTGTTGAGCTATTGAGCAGGAGCTGGAGCCATAAGCATGAAGCCGAGCCGACTGGAGAAGAAGAAGAAGAAGAAGAAGAAGAGGAAAAGCTCTTTGTGGCCTGTTAAATCTGCCATGTCCACTTCCTCACACACTCACCACCTGGTGCTCAAACACATACACACACTGCATCTGTTTTGTAGTTGATTTACCTTCGCCAGACTGCGATTACTGTGGGCCGCTGAAGCACTGTTACTATGGGATTGTCAGTGGCTGCGATGAGAATAGGCACAAACAATGCAGTGCGCTTAACGAGAACAAAAGCACATTCATGAGCGCAAAAAAAGAGAAAGGGGACACAACCACAAAAGGCTCTGCCGATTTGTATATTTCTGTAGCCCTCTGTCACACACACACAGCTATGTCCTCTCATCTGTTGATTGCTGCTTTATATATCACCTTATCCTGTGGTGCCCTTAGAGGGTTGCATCAGCAGTGACTGATGACACACACTGAAAGCTCAAAGCAACAATAGCAGCATAGACAGGCAGCATTTAGCAGTGTTTGATGGTAAAGCAGATAGCTAACCTTGGTGAAGTGGAGAGAGAGTTTTAAAAAGATTCCTGGTTACTTTCACAGCAACGCTCCATTGATTATTCTGTCATCGGATTCTCTCTCCTTCCACCAAAGGCTAGAGACTTGCGAGAGACCTTGATAAATCTTCCACCTATTTTGTGCCATTAAAGGAATAATTTGACATTTTTGGGTAATGATCTTATTCGCTCTGTTTCCTAAGAGTTAGATGAGAAGATAGACACAGCTATCTGTCTGTTCAATATGAAGCTGGAGCCAAGAGACAGTTAGCTTATGTTAAAGCACAGTATGTAACTCCTGTCGCTAGGGTTCTCTCAAGCAAAACAATAACAAAAGACGGCACTGGGTGACGTTATGAAATAACATGGGATCATGGGAGTTATTGTCTTCACCACCATTGCAGTAAGCTTCTCCGGCTTTGGAGTCCTTCAGTATCAGTCATTCATTATTCATTATAAGTGGGTAAAAGTCATTTTTCTGGCAGGAAACCACAACACTGACACATGCACATTGGGGATATGATGTCATTGAGAGGCAACCATGATGTTACCATGATGAAAATCACAGACTTGAGAATTGATGGAAACATTTAGGATAATTTAGGATCATTCTTAGACATTTCAATATGGAAAAGTTACATATTATAACTTTAATAGAAATGGGGGAACAGGTAGCCTGACTCTGTCCAAAGGTAAAAAATAAAGTCAGACTACTGGCACCTCTGAAGCTGGAGCCTTCGCTGATTGTTTGGCAACTTCATGGTGGCTCCCGGCCAGGAAACAGTCTGGCACATAATGTATTTTTTATGGATTAAACAAACAACTTAAGAGGTGCTGGTAGGAAGATTTTGTTACCTTTGGGCCAAGCCAGGCTAGCTGTCTACTGCTACTTTCAGTCTTTAAGCCGAGCTAACCATGTGGCTCCAGTTTCACATCGCACACACAGATTGGTGTCGATCTTTAGAGATAGCTCACGGCAAGAAAGCCCATTTCCCAAAATGTTGCACTGTTTTTAAGCAATGTAACACTGCTGCATGTAATATAAAATGCAATGTAAGTGCTGCAGAAGAAGCTGTGAACATTCTCATCAAAAGTCTTCTGTTGTGGGAATTTATCTAATGGCTCAAAATGAATGAGAGTCTGCTGAATGTCTGAGAGTGATGCTTTCAGATTCAGGCTGGAGAGGGGGCGTAGCAAGTGCCCTGGTAATAACATACTCCACGGACAACTGGAAGTCAAATGACCTGAGGACTTGGCTTTAACACCGCCTAGCTGGCTCCATATCCACAGAGGGAGGCGCGGACGGGCCAGCGCCTGGTTACGGATGCATGGGAGGAACTGGTGGGAAAGTGGAAGGATAAATGGGGGGTAATGGGTTGAGGACATAGTGTGCATATAGATATGGGAGGAAGGGTTGGGTTGAGTGTGGAAGTGGATGATTAAGGTTTATGGGTAAGAGAGCATTGGACAAACATGAGGGATAGTAAATGCTGTCGACTCTGAGGAGAGATTAAGAAGGTTGTACTCTCATCACCTTTTAATAGTTTTTAATCTCACAGAGTGGAGTGGAGTTTATTTGTCTGGAGGGGGCAGTGACCAACATCCGTTCACTAATCCCAGTAGCTTCAGACATACGTATACATCCTGTCAGAATGCAAGGGCATGCAAATTACATATTCATACCCCAATTGGGCAGCTTTTTCTGATGTCGCCAGTAGGCCTATCACATCGTTTACTGAAGCTTGACACTGTTTATTTCCAGGTGGTGTTTAAGTGTTGTAGGGAATACTTACTTTGCTATGTCTTTATGTCGAATATCTTAACATTACTGGAGGGGTGTAGTACAATAAAGAGCTTAGAGCAATAAAGAAAAAAACAGAGCATGCAAAATTGATTAAAAGTGAGATTCTGTTGCTGCACTTAAACCAGAGCCAGTCTGAACTCAGACACTGTTAGCTCTGGGTTCATTCTATTATACTGGCTCCTGAAAGACTGGGATAGGCCTTTTCCACTACGGGAACTTAAACTGGCCACGATCGATATGCTTACATGAAATGACAATGTGGGAGGCGTCACTCATAGTGATGAATCTACATAGAATCTGTAGTTTCCCTCAACTTTACAGATCTTGCAGTGGGTTCATTGTTCAGCTGTCATGGCATCATTTTCATGCAGCTGTTGTCAGTGAAAAATATCTAAAAGCCCGCTTCATACTACCTGCTCTGCACCAAGCAACAGACAGACACAGTTAGAGACTATCTGGTGAACACAGAGGAGTATTTAACAGCTTAAGAGCCATGTATTTCTCAAGGTTCATTTCCATTTACCTGCTTAATGCACAATTTGAAATTGCGAACTTTAAATGGAAACGTGAGCTTTGAAATGTCACAAAAAAATGTATCCACTTGCATGCGATGGTTTTTCCAGACTATTCTACATAGCAATATCCCGCAAAACTGAAATGGATACACTATTTTCGCATTCAAGTAGTGGCATCCGTCGTATCATAGCCCCAGAGAGCCAGTTCCAACCGAGAGGCAGCCTGCTGGAAATCTTTCGTCACGTTTAATTGGAATGATATTGCAAGAGGAGAAAACCCAGCCTCATTTGCACAACATAACTTAATGGAAACACAATCCATTCGCAACTGTGTTTTGTTGATTCTTCTTCGTCTATAAAAAAAAAAAAAAAAAAAAAAAACTTTTTTTTGTTGATTTTTCTTCGTCTAAAAAAAAAAAAAAAAAAAAAAATCACTTCTATTTTGTGGAAACTCGTCTTCTTAGGAGCTGGTGGAGACAAAAACAGAGCAAAAAGAGATTGATATTGGACTTAAATTTACCAAGTGGCCAGAAACGTATACCTCCAGTAATGTTTTATTTTATTATGATATTTTACAGCTGCCTTAAAAGTATCCTCATGTATCGTTAAGGTGAGTGTACTGAGTGCCACACCTTGTCACACCACACTGATGCCCATTATACACAGCCCATTAAGGTTTACTGTAAAACACCAGGTAATGGGCCCAGTTCAACACTGGAGTGACCCCACTGAGACAGAAGCCATGATGAATGTAAAAAGAGGGCGTGAAGTGCACTGCCTCAAATATAATGAGGAATGGGGTCATCGGTCAGAAGGCAAATGAGGAGTGTGGCTTGCAGCACATCATGAAG